TCAATACTGTTATATAACTATTATATAACCTTATCAGTTCAGTCAATTCCATGTTTCCAGCAATCATACATAGTATGGTTCATGTTAAAAAACTAAATATTTTCCTGTGTTGCTTCGGTATAATCCACTAATTGGTGCTAATCAGTGGACGACATCTGGTGCCATTTGGCTTTGTATTTGTCCATGTAACAGAAGTTGGTTATAGATTCCTGTTACTGCACACAAAACATCAGAAAATTCCACTATTGTTTAACATACATGTGGAAACCTCCCTAGTTCTGCTTCATTCTTTCAATCTTTAACAAAGTCTAACAAAGACACACAAGACCCTATACTACCTTCCATGTGTATACTTATTTGGGAGTCTAACGCAACAGGAAAGGAATAGAAAAACATGTGACCTCTGAACTCTAGACAGGTGCCCCCACTAACTGAGCTACCTGTACCAGGTCTCTGGTGATCGGTGATGGACCCAGTCAAGTTCTGCTACAATATAACACTGAACTCTAGACAGGTGGCCCCACTAACTGAGCTACCTGTACCAGGTCTCTGGTGATCGGTGATGGACCCAGTCAAGTTCTGCTACAATATAACACTGAACTCTAGACAGGTGGCCCCACTAACTGAGCTACCTGTACCAGGTCTCTGGTGATCGGTGATGGACCCAGTCAAGTTCTGCTACAATATAACACTGAACTCTAGACAGGTGGCCCCACTAACTGAGCTACCTGTACCAGGTCTCTGGTGATCGGTGATGGACCCAGTCAAGTTCTGCTACAATATAACACTGAACTCTAGACAGGTGGCCCCACTAACTGAGCTACCTGTACCAGGTCTCTGGTGATCGGTGATGGACCCAGTCAAGTTCTGCTACAATATAACACTGAACTCTAGACAGGTGGCCCCACTAACTGAGCTACCTGTACCAGGTCTCTGGTGATCGGTGATGGACCCAGTCAAGTTCTGCTACAATATAACACTGAACTCTAGACAGGTGGCCCCACTAACTGAGCTACCTGTACCAGGTCTCTGGTGATCGGTGATGGACCCAGTCAAGTTCTGCTACAATATAACACTGAACTCTAGACAGGTGGCCCCACTAACTGAGCTACCTGTACCAGGTCTCTGGTGATCGGTGATGGACCCAGTCAAGTTCTGCTACAATATAACACTGAACTCTAGACAGGTGGCCCCACTAACTGAGCTACCTGTACCAGGTCTCTGGTGATCGGTGATGGACCCAGTCAAGTTCTGCTACAATATAACACTGAACTCTAGACAGGTGGCCCCACTAACTGAGCTACCTGTACCAGGTCTCTGGTGATCGGTGATGGACCCAGTCAAGTTCTGCTACAATATAACACTGAACTCTAGACAGGTGGCCCCACTAACTGAGCTACCTGTACCAGGTCTCTGGTGATCGGTGATGGACCCAGTCAAGTTCTGCTACAATATAACACTGAACTCTAGACAGGTGGCCCCACTAACTGAGCTACCTGTACCAGGTCTCTGGTGATCGGTGATGGACCCAGTCAAGTTCTGCTACAATATAACACTGAACTCTAGACAGGTGGCCCCACTAACTGAGCTACCTGTACCAGGTCTCTGGTGATCGGTGATGGACCCAGTCAAGTTCTGCTACAATATAACACTGAACTCTAGACAGGTGGCCCCACTAACTGAGCTACCTGTACCAGGTCTCTGGTGATCGGTGATGGACCCAGTCAAGTTCTGCTACAATATAACACTGAACTCTAGACAGGTGGCCCCACTAACTGAGCTACCTGTACCAGGTCTCTGGTGATCGGTGATGGACCCAGTCAAGTTCTGCTACAATATAACACTGAACTCTAGACAGGTGGCCCCACTAACTGAGCTACCTGTACCAGGTCTCTGGTGATCGGTGATGGACCCAGTCAAGTTCTGCTACAATATAACACTGAACTCTAGACAGGTGGCCCCACTAACTGAGCTACCTGTACCAGGTCTCTGGTGATCGGTGATGGACCCAGTCAAGTTCTGCTACAATATAACACTGAACTCTAGACAGGTGGCCCCACTAACTGAGCTACCTGTACCAGGTCTCTGGTGATCGGTGATGGACCCAGTCAAGTTCTGCTACAATATAACACTGAACTCTAGACAGGTGGCCCCACTAACTGAGCTACCTGTACCAGGTCTCTGGTGATCGGTGATGGACCCAGTCAAGTTCTGCTACAATATAACACTGAACTCTAGACAGGTGGCCCCACTAACTGAGCTACCTGTACCAGGTCTCTGGTGATCGGTGATGGACCCAGTCAAGTTCTGCTACAATATAACACTGAACTCTAGACAGGTGGCCCCACTAACTGAGCTACCTGTACCAGGTCTCTGGTGATCGGTGATGGACCCAGTCAAGTTCTGCTACAATATAACACTGAACTCTAGACAGGTGGCCCCACTAACTGAGCTACCTGTACCAGGTCTCTGGTGATCGGTGATGGACCCAGTCAAGTTCTGCTACAATATAACACTGAACTCTAGACAGGTGGCCCCACTAACTGAGCTACCTGTACCAGGTCTCTGGTGATCGGTGATGGACCCAGTCAAGTTCTGCTACAATATAACACTGAACTCTAGACAGGTGGCCCCACTAACTGAGCTACCTGTACCAGGTCTCTGGTGATCGGTGATGGACCCAGTCAAGTTCTGCTACAATATAACACTGAACTCTAGACAGGTGGCCCCACTAACTGAGCTACCTGTACCAGGTCTCTGGTGATCGGTGATGGACCCAGTCAAGTTCTGCTACAATATAACACTGAACTCTAGACAGGTGGCCCCACTAACTGAGCTACCTGTACCAGGTCTCTGGTGATCGGTGATGGACCCAGTCAAGTTCTGCTACAATATAACACTGAACTCTAGACAGGTGGCCCCACTAACTGAGCTACCTGTACCAGGTCTCTGGTGATCGGTGATGGACCCAGTCAAGTTCTGCTACAATATAACACTGAACTCTAGACAGGTGGCCCCACTAACTGAGCTACCTGTACCAGGTCTCTGGTGATCGGTGATGGACCCAGTCAAGTTCTGCTACAATATAACACTGAACTCTAGACAGGTGGCCCCACTAACTGAGCTACCTGTACCAGGTCTCTGGTGATCGGTGATGGACCCAGTCAAGTTCTGCTACAATATAACACTGAACTCTAGACAGGTGGCCCCACTAACTGAGCTACCTGTACCAGGTCTCTGGTGATCGGTGATGGACCCAGTCAAGTTCTGCTACAATATAACACTGAACTCTAGACAGGTGGCCCCACTAACTGAGCTACCTGTACCAGGTCTCTGGTGATCGGTGATGGACCCAGTCAAGTTCTGCTACAATATAACACTGAACTCTAGACAGGTGGCCCCACTAACTGAGCTACCTGTACCAGGTCTCTGGTGATCGGTGATGGACCCAGTCAAGTTCTGCTACAATATAACACTGAACTCTAGACAGGTGGCCCCACTAACTGAGCTACCTGTACCAGGTCTCTGGTGATCGGTGATGGACCCAGTCAAGTTCTGCTACAATATAACACTGAACTCTAGACAGGTGGCCCCACTAACTGAGCTACCTGTACCAGGTCTCTGGTGATCGGTGATGGACCCAGTCAAGTTCTGCTACAATATAACACTGAACTCTAGACAGGTGGCCCCACTAACTGAGCTACCTGTACCAGGTCTCTGGTGATCGGTGATGGACCCAGTCAAGTTCTGCTACAATATAACACTGAACTCTAGACAGGTGGCCCCACTAACTGAGCTACCTGTACCAGGTCTCTGGTGATCGGTGATGGACCCAGTCAAGTTCTGCTACAATATAACACTGAACTCTAGACAGGTGGCCCCACTAACTGAGCTACCTGTACCAGGTCTCTGGTGATCGGTGATGGACCCAGTCAAGTTCTGCTACAATATAACACTGAACTCTAGACAGGTGGCCCCACTAACTGAGCTACCTGTACCAGGTCTCTGGTGATCGGTGATGGACCCAGTCAAGTTCTGCTACAATATAACACTGAACTCTAGACAGGTGGCCCCACTAACTGAGCTACCTGTACCAGGTCTCTGGTGATCGGTGATGGACCCAGTCAAGTTCTGCTACAATATAACACTGAACTCTAGACAGGTGGCCCCACTAACTGAGCTACCTGTACCAGGTCTCTGGTGATCGGTGATGGACCCAGTCAAGTTCTGCTACAATATAACACTGAACTCTAGACAGGTGGCCCCACTAACTGAGCTACCTGTACCAGGTCTCTGGTGATCGGTGATGGACCCAGTCAAGTTCTGCTACAATATAACACTGAACTCTAGACAGGTGGCCCCACTAACTGAGCTACCTGTACCAGGTCTCTGGTGATCGGTGATGGACCCAGTCAAGTTCTGCTACAATATAACACTGAACTCTAGACAGGTGGCCCCACTAACTGAGCTACCTGTACCAGGTCTCTGGTGATCGGTGATGGACCCAGTCAAGTTCTGCTACAATATAACACTGAACTCTAGACAGGTGGCCCCACTAACTGAGCTACCTGTACCAGGTCTCTGGTGATCGGTGATGGACCCAGTCAAGTTCTGCTACAATATAACACTGAACTCTAGACAGGTGGCCCCACTAACTGAGCTACCTGTACCAGGTCTCTGGTGATCGGTGATGGACCCAGTCAAGTTCTGCTACAATATAACACTGAACTCTAGACAGGTGGCCCCACTAACTGAGCTACCTGTACCAGGTCTCTGGTGATCGGTGATGGACCCAGTCAAGTTCTGCTACAATATAACACTGAACTCTAGACAGGTGGCCCCACTAACTGAGCTACCTGTACCAGGTCTCTGGTGATCGGTGATGGACCCAGTCAAGTTCTGCTACAATATAACACTGAACTCTAGACAGGTGGCCCCACTAACTGAGCTNCGACCTAGTCAAATTTGCTACAATATAACACTGTGTGAGGGCTACTTACCAGGGCACTCTCCTTCAAGTCCAGATTCTGTAGCACAGCATCACCTACACACAAAAAGAACACATTTACAAATAGACCATTTAGTTTATATATAACATTTTTATTTAACATTACGATTATTATTTTTTTTCAACATAAAACGTTGATAACAAACTGTTTCTCGATAAATCCAAAAAAGAAACAAGAGGCCCAANGCAATCATGGCAAAATATTCTCCAAATGAGATCAAAGAAAATATGCCAGACCCCAAGGCCAATTCTTATAGCATATCTGTATAAGATTTTGCCCAGCAATTTTATGTATAGTTATGGGGTGGGGATCTCAACTGTTTCCAATCTGTGACTCAGAAACTAGGTCCCTAGGGTTGTGGCCAGACCCCAGGATCAATTCTAATATCATGACTGCATTTGTCTCTTTTTGCCTAGCATTTGTATATATAGTTTTGGGGTGGGGATCTCGACCGTTTCAAAGTTATGACCCAGGGGTAAGTCTGCAAGGGTAGGGCAGACCCTGGGGTCAATTCTAATATCATGACTGCATTCGTCTCTTTATGCCCAACAATTGTATATATAGATCTGGGGTGGGGATCTTAACCATTTCGAAGTTATGACCCAGGGGTTAAATCTCCAAGGATGGGGCAGTCCCCAAGGTCATCCTGGAAGAATATGTGCATTCTGTCTTTATACTCAGCAATTGTATATATGGTTATAGGGTGGGGACTTAACTGTTTCCAAACTGTGACTAAGAAACTAGGTCCCTAGGGGTTCGGTCAGACCCCAGGGTATATTCTAATAAAATGACTGCATTCGTCTCTTTATGCCCAGCATTTGTATATATAGTTTTGGGGTGGAGATCTCAACCGTTTTAAAGTTATAGCCTAGGGACTATGACTATGATATCCAGTGCATAGTTCTAAGTCGTTTGTAGCAATATAGCCAATTTGTCCCCTTTTGACCAGGCCCCTCAGCCCCCTGGGGGGGTCAGCCCAATCATTTGTACAATTTTGAATCTCCAACACCTAGGGATACTTCCAGTCAAATATGGTTGATATCCATCTCTTAGTTCCAGAGGAGAAGTCGCTTAAAGCAATATAGCCAAATTGCCCCCTTTTTGCCCCGCCCCTAAGCCCCCTGGGGGGTCAGCCCCACCATTTGTACAATTTTGAATCCCTACCAACTAGGGATGCTTCCAGACAAATATGGTTGACATCCATCTCTTAGTTCCAGAGGAGAAGTCGCTTAAAGCAATATAGCCAAATTGCCCCCTTTTTGCCCCGCCCCTAAGCCCCCTGGGGGGTCAGCCCCACCATTTCTACAATTTTGAATCCCCAACACCTAGGGATGCTGCCAGTCAAATTTAGTTAAATTCCAATCAGTGGTTAAGAAGAAGAAGTCGTTTAAAGAAATTGTTGCCGGACAGACGACGGACGGACGACGGACGGACGGACGGACGGATGACGGACGCCACGGTATGGCATAAGCTCACCTTGGTCCGTCGGACCAGGTGAGCTAATAATAAAATAGTACTAGTAACATTAGAAAATGTTTGTGAAACATGGGTAAGCTGCAGCTTCTACTGCGATGGAAATGAAGCTAAATACACAGTGACCTATATAGGATTTAGTAGGGCTTCAAAATGGTAATCCCATGCTAGATATTACAATATATTACTCTAATAATGATAAATCATGTAACATCACCTATGCATATTGTGATAATATATACATATTAGTAGTACAAAGGGTCGCAAACATGAAAAATCCAAAACTTGAATCATGAACCTAATATGAAGGGAAACTTATGACAGATCCTCTATATATACCTTACACATCCTACATGTGATTTCGTTTTTTAGTATAACTATAAACTTTATTTATTTTACAACAGTTTTGAAACAAGTAATTTCAACTTATATTAATCATGTGTTGGCCTGGGTGTTAGTGCTCCGGGTCTTAGAACCGAGAGAAAACCCACGTGGTTGGACAGGTGACCCCATACCTTTTCAAGTCCGATCGAAGGATCAAACCCTTCTTGCCTTAGTGAAAGGCAAGTGTGCTATCCACCGAGACACCTGACTACCCAACCAGTCTAGTCTGGCATCAGACGTTATATCTACTATCCGCCGAGACACCTGACTACCCAACCAGGCTAGCCTGGCATCAGACGTTATATCTGCTATCCACCAAGCCACCTGTCTACCCAACCAGTCTCGTCTGGCATCATACGTTATCTCTACTATCCACCGAGCCACCTGGCTCCCCAACCAGTCTAGCCTGGCATAATACGTTATATCTGCGAACCACCGAGCCACCTGACTACCGAACCAGTCTAGCCTGGCATCGTACGTTATATCTGCTATCCACAGAGCCACCTGACAACCCAACCAGTCTAGCCTGGCCTCATTCGTTATATCTGCTAACCACCGAGCCACCGGACTACCCAACCAGTCTAGGCTGGCATCATACGTTATATCAGCTATCCACCGAGCCACCTGACTTCCCAACCAGTCTAGCCTGGCCTCATTCGTTATATCTGCTAACCACCGAGCTACCTGACTACCCAACCAGTCTCGCCTGGCATCAAACGTTATATCTACTATCCACCGAGACCCCTGACTACCCAACCAGTCTAGTCTTGCATCATACGTTATATCTGATATCCACCGAGCCACCTGACTCCCCGACCAGTCTAGTCTGCCATCATACGTTATATCGGCTATCCACTGAGCCACCTGACTACCCAACGAGTCTAGCCTGGCATCATAAGTTATATCTGCTATCCAACGAGCCACCTAACTACCCAACCAGTCTAGCCTGGCCTCATTCGTTATATCTGCTAACCACCGAGCTACCTGACTACCCAACCAGTCTCGTCTGGCATCATACGTTATTTCTACTATCCACCGAGCCACTTGACTCCCCAACCAGTCTAGCCTGGCCTCATTCGTTATATCTGCTAACCACCGAGCCACCGGACTACCCAACCAGTCTAGGCTGGCATCATACGTTATATATGTTACCCCCCGAGCCACCTGACTACCCTACCAGTCTAGCCTGGCATCACACGTTATATCTGCTAACCACCGAGCAACCTGCCTCCCCATCCAGTCTAGCCTGGGATCATACGTTATATCTACTAGCCACCGAGCCACCTGACTACCCTACCAGTCTAGCCTGGCATCACACGTTATATCTGCTAACCACCGAGCTACCTGACTACCCAACCAATCTAGTCTGGCATCATACGTTATATATACTATCCACCGAGACACCTGGCTTCCCATCCAGTCTAGTCTGGCATCAGACGTTATATCTGCTATCCACAGAGCCACCTGACAACCCAACCAGTCTAGTCTGGGATCATACGTTATATCTGCTATTCACCGAGCCACCTGACTACTCAACCAGTCTAGTCTGGCATCAGACGTTATATCTGCTATCCACAGAGCCACCTGACTACCCAACGAGTCTAGCCTGGCATCATAAGTTATATCTGCTATCCACTGAGACACCTCACTAACCAACCAGTCTAGTCTGGCAGCAGACGTTATATCTGCTATCCACTGAGACACCTCACTAACCAACCAGTCTAGTCTGGCCTCATACGTTATATCTACTAGCCACCGAGCCACCTGACAACCCAACCAGTCTAGCCTGGCCTCATTCGTTATATCTGCTAACCACCGAGCAACCTGCCTCCCCATCCAGTCTAGCCTGGCATCAGACGTTATATCTGCTATCCACTGAGACACCTGACTAACCAACCAGTCTAGTCTGGCATCATACGTTATATATACTATCCACCGAGCCACCTGGCTCCCCAACCAGTCTAGCCTGGCCTCATTCGTTATATCTGCTAACCACCGAGCAACCTGCCTCCCCATCCAGTCTAGCCTGGGATCATACGTTATATCTACTAACCACCGAGCCACCTGACTATCCAACCAGTCTAGCCTGGCATAATACGTTATATCTGCGAACCACCGAGCCACCTGACTACCAAACCAGTCTAGCCTGGCATAATACGTTATATCTGCGAACCACCGAGCCACCTGACTACTCAACCAGTCTAGTCTGGCAGCAGACGTTATATCTGCTATCCACAGAGCCACCTGACTACCCAACCAATCTAGCCTGGCATCATACGTTATCTCTACTATCCACCGAGCCACTTGACTACCCATCCAGTCTAGCCTGGGATCATACGTTATATATGTTACCCCCCGAGCCACCTGACTACCCAACAAGTCTAGCCTGGCATCATCCCTTATATCTGCTATCGACTGAGCCACCTGACTACCCAACAAGTCTAGCCTGGCATCATCCGTTATATCTTCTATCCACCGAGCCACCTGACTTCCCAACCAGTCTAGTCTGGCCTCATACGTTATATCTACTACCCACCGAGCCACCTGACTCCCCGACCAGTCTAGTCTGCCATCATACGTTATATCTACTAACCACCGAGCCACCTGACTACTCAACCAGTCTAGTCTGGCAGCAGACGTTATATCTGCTATCCACAGAGCCACCGGACTACCCAACCAGTCTAGTCGGGCATCATACGTTATATCTTCTATCCACCGAGACACCTGGCTTCCCATCCAGTCTAGTCTGGCATCAGACGTTATATCTGCTATCCACCGAGACACCTGACTCCCCAACCAGTCTAGTCTGGCAGCAGACGTTATATCTGCTATCCACTGAGACACCTGACTACCCAACCAGGCTAGCCTGGCATCATCCGTTATATCTTCTATCCACCGAGACACCTGACTACCCAACCAGATTAATCATGTGTTGGCCTGGGGGTTAGTGCTCCGGGTCTTAGAACCGAGAGAAAACCCACGTGGTTGGACAGGTGACCCCATACCTTTTCAAGTCCGATCGAAGGATCAAGCCCTTCTTGCCTTAGTGAAAGGCAAGTGTGCTATCCACCGAGACACCTGACTCCCCAACCAGTCTAGTCTGGCATCATACGTTATATCTGCTATCCACCGAGCTACCTGACTACCCAACCAATCTAGTCTGGCATCATACGTTATA